TTGCATAAATCCTGTTAGATACTGTATACTAATATATAACAATATGTCATGGGAGGTTTAGAATTTATCCCATTACATGTGCAGATTGATTTTATTGATTTTATTTATTATTTTTTCATCTCTTTATTCGGTTGTCTTTCTCTGTAGTGTAGTTTATGAAATTCAGCTCTGTTCTGAAAATATTTACTAAAGACAACCTATGAGTTCAACACAATGGGTTATTCCAATTGAATTAGTTAGCTTGTGTTGCACAGAAACAGTCCCAAAATTTAGTGGCTTAAAACCACCATTTTATTTAGCGCATGATTCTTTAGTCAGCTGGGCAGTGCTTCTGGTCTGGGCTGGCTCAGCTGATGTCCATGGGGCTTCCTCAGGTATCTGTAGTCAGCTGATAGGTCAGTGAGTAACTGGACAAACATGGCATCACCATGTCCAATGGGGCACCTCGGTTTTCCTCCATGTGGTCTCCTGTCCTCCAACAGGCTAGCTCAGGCTTGTTCACAGTGGTCTCAGGGTTCTAAGTTTAGCAAAATGGCAAGCCCAATACATGTGCAAATTTTAAAATTTCGTTTCTTTCACAAGACTTATTGACACATTTCAACCACAGTTTATATATATATATATATTTTTTGTTGTTATATTTGTCAGAAATAAAATAGACTGATGAAACAAAATCAAAATCTCTTCCAAGACAAAGAAAGGTATAAATGTGTAATAGCTTACTTTTTAATAGAGCCTCTGAAGAATGCTCTTAAATAACCATGACAGTGGTAGCAATGTATTTAGAAGGCTGCCTGCCTTCTTATCAGGCTGTAGGAAAAGGTAGAAATTACTGAGGGGAGATTTCATAGCCAGGGATAGGCTTAGTGATTTCACATGCTACCATGTGTATTCCATCTGTCTTTACATCTTACATTTCACCATTTTCTTTATTTGACTCTGCAGATAAATGTATTTTACTTACTTTGGCATGTAGCTCCACTTGATGTCTGTGCTGATAAATGTGACAGTGTGTGTCAGGATTCATCACATATGTAGGCACTGGTCTTTTTTGAGATTGCATCTTCAAGATTGTGCTGTCTAAAAGTGATTGCTAAATGTACCTGCAGTTAGAAACTTTTGGTTCAGACTCAAATTTTAACTTTGAACTGCGAAGGAAGTTAACTCTTCTAACTTATTGTAAAATTTTTTATGACACTGGAAATTAATTTTCTTGGGTATGAAATTATCTTGGGTATGGACTTGAATTGATTTCATTTACAGTTTTATTCCTGCTATGATAATCATTCTCATGTAGGAAGTTTTATAGTGAGAGAAATCATAGAGAAACTGTGTGTGGTATTAGTTTTAGTCATATAATTATCTCATCACAATTTTAATCATCTTGAAAGATTTCAATGTATATCAGTACTAAATTAGGCTGCTTAAGGGATGAAACCTAAAAATATCAAAAGATTTTCTTCCTTACCTGATACCTTAAATCTTATTGGGAACTTAATTTACTTAATCAATTACTTTGCCTATAGTGTTTAAGAGATTAAAAACTTTCTTTTAAAGGGGTCAGATGTTGGATCTCGGAGGAATCTTTATTTTTTATATAAGTTAGTTACATTCTTTTTAATAAAAAGATGTTTATTAAAAAAGCCAATCTAGCTATGCTACTTTGGTTGTTTCAGTACAAAGCAAATTGAATAGCCAGTCTCTGTCTTATAAGAGCTGCCTTTGAACTGAACTTAGGTTATATGTTCATTCTTAATCATTTCATTTACAAACTGTGTTTATAGGTGTATCTTTATGATGATGTATTGCATCTCTAAATAATAAAAGTATCTCAAAGATAATAAAACTTTTTGGATCACATTACATGAGTTATCTACATTAATTATTAAAAAAAATTAAATAATGGACAAATTGAAATGGATGAAGTTATAGTAAAATCAAGTCAAAATCTATATTTATATAAATTTTAATGGATTCTAAATGTAGAGTATATATTTCCATTAGAAACTAATTAGTTATGTTTATACATAGTTACTAAATATTCTCAGATATTTGTGGGCTAAGACTATTGTGGTATTTTATAATAATGGACCAGAAAGCTCTGGAGAGAGAATAAATATGCTAAGTTTTCTTAGAGGTATTATTATTTCTTTCATTTTTTTCCCCTGAGGTCTAGCCCTTTAAAATATGATACTTGAAATAAATATTGTTTCCTAACTTAATTGTACCTTTTTAAGAATTGGAAGTTGGTAATTATTTTAAGGGAAAAAAAATAAAAACACTGTAGATTATTAGTGTAATTTTCCTTTAAAGGAGACAGGATTAAAAACCCTTAACTGTTCCTGAAGTAGAATTGCTACTTAAAGAACATATGTTATAGTACTGTCTATTGAAAAGTTTAGCAATTTTATATCATGATATAATAACCAGTACACTTTTTTTCTATCATGTAAAATGCCACTCTGAAAATCTATTCCTAGGTATTGCTATACTTTTCAAGAGAATGTTCTGTGATGTGTATGTTAGCTTTGGCTGACACAGATACTTGATTTTTGGTTTGTCCTGTATATTTAGATCCTCTACAGATGAACTGATGTGTTCTAGACAGGAAGTGGTATGTAGGAGATATAGGAATGGGCTGAAGTATCCTTTATATTTGCCTTTGTATCTAGGGGAGTTGGAAATAGGCAAGAATGGAGAGAAATTTTGTATGGCAGTACACAGAATTTTGCAAGTTTATTGTGAGCCCTGCAGCAATCCGATGCATTTTAGTTACTGGTAAGTTTGTTAAATTATGTTTGAAAATGTACCTCTTCGAAGATGGCCATCTGTTTACTATTACGTCCACCATGTCAAATATACCTTATTTTAAAGATTTTTTTTTTGGAAAAGATGTGGTATGGCTATTGCATTGGGTTTTAGGTATAAATTAAAAATACTTTTGTTTGTGAATTCATCTGACTTTTCAATTGTTGTCATGGTTAATATTGAAGTGAAATTAACATTTTATGGATAGTATAGTCATGTGTTAAGATTTTGGAATAATAATAAAATTAATATTTCTTTTTTTTTGTAATGGAACTCCATTGTATTTAGAGGTCTGAATTAATTTGTTAGATGTTTGAGAATGAGTAGATATTTGAGAATGACACAAAAGAATAAGAAAATCGATGGCATACTTATAATTTTATATGGTTCTACATAGGAGGGTGATTTATTGTATGAAATAATATTTTGCCTTTTTTCATGGACCATAGGGACTATTGTGAGACATTTCTAGTCTTTCTTTTTGGCAGTACTGATGTTTAGGAATCTACTTTCCCCCCAAATCACTAACTCAGGTGTGGTAAGAATTCCACGAGCAGATGAGAAAATTGTGTAATCTCTATGTAATAGTCTTCTTTATTCTTTTTAAACATTTTTGGTAGAAGTGTTATATGTAATATAGTATGTAAGCAGTTATTTGTGAAGTGGCCTTGACTGTTGATTCATTTAATTTAAAATGGACTAGATTGCTTAATAGCTGTTCTTCTTTACAGAAACCTTTTAAAAATCCCAAGAGATTCCTTGGTAGTCATGTTTTTCTTGTGAATATCTATCTTTGACTTAAGGACAAAGTAAAAAAATATATCATTGATTTGTAGTATTAGTTTACTTTTTTTGTTGTTTCAGGCTGTCGGGCCAGTTAATATAATTTAATTTTAATTTCCTGTAATAAAGTACTTTATTTCCGGATACTATACTTTTTTCTAGGTGTTGTCATGTAGTCCATTAAACTAAGTTTTATAATACTGATAATGATAATTTTGCTATTGGTTCTTGTTATGAGAACATTTCTGTTTTGAACAAAAATAACCACATTATCAGAGAAATGCATTGTCAGTCCTGTTGAAACCTGGAGAGCTAGAATAATTCAGAGAATAGAATAACTTCAGATTCCTTTTGGGCTTTAATAACTTTCAAGTTTTCCTCATTAGCAAATTTTCTTAATTACTTGTAAGAATGCGTACCTCTGCATTTAAAATATATTTAGAAATGTGTGTTTTTACCCTTTCTTAAAAGTATAAATAGGCAATTTAGAGTATATTGTAAAACACTGTTAATAGATATTTTAATTCCCGATAAAGTCTGGTTTATAGGAATTTATTATAAATTACATTATGCACATACAGTGAAGGAATATGTATTTCATTATTAGGAACTCTATATTTATGTCAGTGCTGCTGGTTTAAAATTGTTACATGTAACTTTGTGAAGTAATACATTATCAAAACTTAATTCAGTGCAATCATTTGTCTTTTGCTTGTTCATTCATTCATTCATTCAACAGACATACCAAGTGCTTAGTTTTTGTCTAGCACATATCTTTGGGTGCTTTTATATGTTTGTGTATACATTGTGTAATTAATTGCCACATTTTATTTTGGTATTGCATAAATCATTTCTTTTCTTTGATCTCATGAAGGCATACTTGGACATAAGTGACATTTTACATATTTCTCTGGATTTTTTTTTAACAAATACAGTGTTTTTGAAAAATAGGTCTTAATAAAAAGTTTATTTAAAAATAGATATGTTCTTCCAAAGCAATATTGCATACATATTTAAAATTCTCTATGAAAGCCTGTTATTCAAAAAGTATTATGATAAAGTCTTTTGTGGAAAAGTGACGTATGTGTGTTCTTATGTTAGACTTACATGAAGCAGGAAATAATATATATGTATAGATAAACTTTGACATTTTACTTTGGAATATAAAAAAATTACACAGTTGTAGTTTAGTTTATAATATTTAATTTGAAAATGATAAACTAGTTTCTTATGCTTGTGAGAAAATATATTTTTGCATAATATGAGGTATAATAGTCTTTGTCAGAAAATTAAGATTAAATTTCAATATGGTTGTTATCTTCTAGCATTATAAAATACTCAGTGGAAGACTTTGTTTATAATAAACATTTGATGATTACATAATGAAATTATCTGTACTTTACATGCAGTGCTACTCTTTTGGCATTCCTGGTTGAACTACTTAAAAGTTCAGTAGCCATGCAAGAACAGATGCTGGGTGGAAAAGGCTTTTTAGTCATTGGCTACTTACTTGAAAAGGTAAGTGATATGTGTTGATGCTTTTATTGTGTAGCCTTCACACCTGGACAACTGATAATTGCTAAATATATATTTTTCTGTGGTTTCCTTTTCTATTAACTGTACAGTGGTCATATTGTTTGCTAATTCACAAACATTTTTATATTATACACTTTGACATAAGTATAGACATGGAATTAAACTGGATGTTAGAAGTATTAAATCATTAAGAAAATTTTAGTGAAAATAGAAACTAAGGAAAAATTCTTTCATTTTTATTCAAGTTACAAGTATTATTTGTCTTAATTTTTTCTAGTTTCTTTGCTATCTTTATACTAAGACTAACTTTCTTAGGAATCTTATTTAATTTAAATGGATTTGCATTTTAGTTATTGCTTTATTTTTCAATTATAAGGTCAAAATCTTTATTTGATAGCAACAGAAACATTATTTTGTGCTTTTTGTCCCTGCTTTTAAGATATATTAGAATATTTAAAGTAGCTTTTGCTAATCAATGCATAGTATAAACAATACAAATTACATGGGTTTAGTTTTTCACTTTTTCTGTCATTTATGTCCTTTTTTAAAAAAATGCCTTTCTTAGCTTTATTCGCACTGTATTAGTATGGTAATGAATGCTGAATTTCTGATTATGGTCTTACAAGAATTTGGTTGGGTTGTGATTTTCTTTAAAAATTAAAGTGAGATTTCTTGAATAAAAGGTTTATTTTTTAAAATAAACATCTATTCCCTGTCATTACAAACCTCTTCTTATCTGTTAACTTTTTAATGTTCCGCTGTTCTGAAAATGAAACTATTTCAAAAATAATAGAGGTAATATCCCAACTAAGAGGAATAAACTTATTTGTCCCTTGGGAAGAAAAATTGAAAAGACTTTTGCAGATAGTTCTAATTTTACCTCCCATGGTTTTACATTTGAAATACTTGTAATGTGTCTTGTCTTTGAAATAAGTGCTGCTCTTTCTTTAAGGACTGGTGACTGAGGAGTTGTTAATTATTGAGTATGTCAGTCATTGGCAGCATTTCTTTATTGAGGCAAGTTTTTTTTTTTTGGTCTTTTGTCTTTTTCCGTGTCCGGCAACGGATCGCAACCCTCAGTGTTGCCCCCGTACCGGACCGGGGACCGGCAACGGGATCGCAACCCTCGGTGTTGCCCCCGCGCCTCGCTCAGCCAGTGAGCGGGAACCGGTCTGTATGTGGGATCCGAACCCTCGGGTGGGAGCGCCGCCGCGCTTCCCAAGCGGTGCACTTATCCAGTGCGCCACCAGGCCGGCCCATGAGGCAAGTTTTTCAGTAACCTTCTTAGGAACTTTATTAAGCCTCTTTTTTTTTTTTTTTAAATGATGTAATACTACTTTCCTATATCTACAGTATTAAAATTTTTTTAGAAGGTATATGATAAACTACATTTTACATGACTTAGATATTATGAAATGCCTTTGTCAGATTACTATACATGACAAGATCACCATCAGGACCTCCCTCTTTAATATTCTTTTCATCTATTTACTAAGGATTTATCTGCATAACTCTAAAGTGATGAACAGTCTTTTAAACTTAAAACTTAGCTTAAACTTAGAAATATTATATAAAGCCTTTAAATCAAATAAAAAGATATATCGAGTTTTCTTTTTCTCATAATTAATATCCTTAAAATTATACTGTAAATTTGGTAAGTGCAAAATATCTCATTGTGGTTTTAATTTTCACTTTTAAAAAAGATTTTGACTAAAATTTTACATATACATGTATATATATATATAAGTGTCTGCACAATTTCATTTAGGTTGTCTTTCATTTTCCTATTAATATGTAGAAATTCTGTATATACCCATATTCTGGATATGAGTATTTTGTTGGATATATACTACAAATATCTCTTTCTCTTTGGCTTGCCTTTTCACTCTCTTAATGGTGTTTTTTGATAAACAGAAGTTCTTACTTTAATGTAGGTCAAATTTTCAGTTTTTTTATGATTAGCCCATTTTGAATCCTTATGTATCCCAAAGCCATGAGAGTATTCTATATTTTCTTCCCCAAATTTTGTTATATCTTTCACATTTAGATCTATGTGGAATTGAATTTAGTGTGCGGAATAAAATATAAGGGTCAATCATCATTTTTTTTTCTCCATATATGTATCTAGCTGACCCAGTACCATTTATTAAAAAGATAATTTTCCACTGCATTGCTGTCTATATCTTTGCCATAAATCAGGTGACCATATATGAGTGGGATTTTTAAAAAATCTTTGAGGCAGTGTAACAGTATCTTAATTTGTATAGCTTTTAGCGCATCTTAATATCTAGTAGTATGTCATGTAGCTTTATTGTTGTTCTTCAAGATTGCCTTGGATATTCTTGGGTTTTTACATTTCTTTATATATCAGCTCATCAATTTCCACCAAAATGGATTATGTTGTATTATATTATGGTTGTATTATATTGACATCATTACTCTGTTAAGTCTCTCAATTTATATACTTGGCATATCCTTTGATTTATTTAGACCCTCTTTTGTAGTTTTCTGTATAGAAAACTTAACTCTCTTTCTGATGGATTTATTACCAAATATTTGATGCTATTTGATGTTTTAAAATTTTTAACGTTTTTTTTTGTCACTGGTACATAGACATATAATTGATGTTTACATTGAACTTTTGTATACCAATCTTGTCACTCCTCCATTAATTCTAGTATTTTGTAGATTTTTAAAAACTTTTCCTTGTAGACAATATAATATTATCTGAGAATGATGATTTTGTTTTTTCCTTTCTTTCTTTTTTTTTTTTTTATTTCCTTGCAGAGTAGAAATCCCCTTTGTGTTTCAGATGGTACAGTCTGGCCTTATCCAGGGACTGGCATTCTGGTTTGATGTGGCCTTTGTTGGATCTCTGTATGTATGTATCCCCCCCAACCCCACCCCTTCT